AGTTGGAGGGGCTTTCCTGGCCATTCCACATCAGTGCTGTATAATGGCACTGAGAGGCCATAGTGTACTACATTTATGACACATTTTGGATTTTCTCTTAGATAGTCTTTCCAACTCCATAGCTAAGTTTCCTTTTCCTGTTAGTGATAGAGGATGAATTAATAAATTTGGAAAAGTGCTAGAGACTGTTGATACAGTGGTGCATTCGTGATGCTGGAGAGAACCAAATACTTCATACAGTCTAGAGCTTGGAAACGCCAACAGTTAACCTCTCTGTTGGAGTTCTTACAGAACGTGTAAAAACACTGTTGCTTGCACCAGCAAGTCAGTATTCATGATCCACCCCTTTTTATAGCTCTCTTTGGCTCAAGAAGAACAACTTGTTTAGGAAAACATTGAACACTTCAATATGCAAGTCATCCTGACAACAGGTGATGGGACAAAATGAATTTAAACTCCAAAGTAAAAAATAAGATACAGGTGATGGGACTGTGAAATTTAACACTGAGGAAACATACTTGGGGGATGAGTTAAATCCTGTCTGACATAGGTTGCTTCTATTGTTTGGATTTTTTTAACTGTAATTCTTATTCTCCCCATATATTTAAATTGGAGGCTTCACTGGTGGAAAACTCTCCAGTTATGCCACTATTATGCTTACACTGGCTGCCTGGCCACTTACCAGATAAACTTTTTATGATGCTAAGATTTTGCAGTCTCTTCTAACAGAAGATTTCCATAGTTGTCTACTGCGGCAGAGTGTGCACCTCTGCGTTCACCACAAAAGATCTCAACAGAGTACTTTGAAAATTACTTTTTGTCATGACCAGTAGAGCTTTTAGTCTACAAAGTGATGTGCTGGACAGTGAGGGGTTTGCTTTCTTCTTTACTGCCACTTTTAACATATGAGCTATGCTGCTTTGACACAGTCAGCAAAAATGCAAGTACTTCACACAATTCTGCATGCATTTGGGTTTGAGCAGCATTTGAATAGCAACTTTGTATGTAGCATCTGGCATTTTTCCTAAAGAGAGAGACACAGCAAGGGAAGGTTAACCTCTAAATTTAAGCAAGGTCTTCACCCTCACCTTTTATGGTCCCTCTCCGTGGGCCGTTTCTCGGCCTGTGGGTGCCTTAGCTGGTGGCGGTGCTCCCCGACCTCCTCACACAGTGGAACCCAGGGCTCCCAGCCCACGCCTGCCGTCCTTCACGGACTCGACCCGAAACGCAGGTTCGTGGAGCAGGTACCTACTGCCACTGGGTGGCGACAAGTTTCCAGTCCACGCGTTTCAAAAGGCGACTTCGCCTCTTTAGCGATACCCGTTTTCTGAGTTTCCTACTGCATTTCCCGCACACTGGAGTACTTCTGCTTAGGCTGGTGGAAACTGTTCAGCTGTGCTGTTTGTCCTTCTTGTACTCTGTGCTTTTCACCTGCTCCTGATGGCGGCAGATGACTGCAGAAGTGCAAAATGCCAAAGCACTGCAGAGCTCCTGATGCGAAGAGGAGCAGAGAGCAGAGCATAGCTTTCGGACCAGCTTTGGCTATTCAAGCACTGGGTTTCCACCATTTCTCCCCTTGCTAGCAGCATGCTAGTGTACTTCATCAACGTTGTGTCCAGCTCTGAATTATTGCAGATTTGTTTCCGACAGTTAGCTTTAACTTCTGAAGTAATGGAAGTTCCTCACTGGGATGTTACAGTCCAAGTGGACAAAGAATTTCACAGAGAAGGAAGGTCTCCATTCACAACAGAAATACTCTCAGCCCCTACACCTGACTTGTCTGGGGTTTTTAACCAGATTTAAAAAAATAATAAAATAGAATTATTTTACTGCATGTGATTTTAATGAAAAATTCCTTCTGCAGCTTACTGAAGCTACGTCCAGACAGCAGGAGTAAGTTGCCCTTACTATCTAATGAAACGAGATAGCCTCCAAAAATTTGAAGTAATCTGAGTAGCAGAATTCAAGTCATACAGAGGATTTGCAGCCAGTCGCTTCCTTTTTCAACCATGTGTTTTAATCTTTAATTTGTTCACAGTGAGTCATTCACATAGACTTTTCATTCCTAATCACAGTAGTCCTTCTGGTTAAATGCTAAATAGTTGTATGGAGTGTGGCAAAACTGAGTTTAAATTAGATTGCTTTGTTGACAATTATATTAATTCCTTCCTTGTCCTTGTTTCATATAAAAAGCTTAAATGCAAGCAAGTATTCAAATAAAGAGAAAAATCAAGGTGCTAATGAACATAATGTTGTGGGATCTTATGAAGCACATAGGTGGTAAGGAACGGGAACCAGTCCCTCCTGTCAACCTCTGTTTTCATAACCTCAACAAAGTGCTATCCTCCCTTTTATAAATGAGAGCTAGCTGAAGTGTGTAATCAATGTTTTCTTCTAATGAACATCTAATGAATACTCCCACAAAATAAATAAATAGAAAATCCAATACTTGGGTATACAAAGTGATAATGTAAAACTCCTGTTTGGAAACTTGGATGAGAAGACAAATGGTGTTGCTTCTCCTTGAGATACATCTTCT